ATTTGATCTGGAAAGAGAAATAACTAATATCATTTGTTTTTGCCTCCTGTAAGTTTCTTAACAAAAAGCCGTTACGAGCTGAACATGCTCTGAATAGTGGGTGGATTAGAATGTGTGCGCGCAGATGTGTGCACAGACGTTCGCATGGAAATGTGCACAAACGTACTGACATCAGAATGTGAGATTGTTTCTGCATGCGCACATATGCCTGCTCATTGATGTCTGATAGACTATAAAATGAATGTAAGAGTGAGCCCATTGCTGACTGGTCTTCAGCTTTGTCCTGTGTTCCTGTTGCTACTCTGCTAACATGTGCTTGACTCCGTCTTATGCTCCTGAGCTGCTCCTGATCACCGATTTGGTACCTTTACCTGGCATCTGATTTCCTTCTATTCTGGAGGGCTAACAGCAATATTTGGGGATAGTCTTGGCATGCATATGCATGCTCCTTAGTCCACACTTAGCCAACCCAATGGAACTTATGCAAATCCAGGCTCTTTTGCAGCCTTGATAATATTCAAAAGACGAAAAAAAGGTTCTCACACTATATCCAATAAAACCTATCTGTCAATTGTTGCAATACACGGCAAAATGTGGGCGATTGTTACAATACATGGGCACAAACTGGTCAATCATTATAAGACACTGGCAAAACATGGGCGATTGTGACAATACCCAGACAATGATAATAGTAACAAAGATAGAGACAATAACTGGAGACAAGACTGCCTTCACCCCCCAACACCCACCTATACTTTTTTTGTAGGCCTCTGATCCAGCAGCAGGTGTTCAGTGGACAAGGAGTGGAGCTAGAGGTGTAGAGAGCACAGGCCTCCACTGCTGGCCTATTGTATTAGCGACACTGATGTAGCTCTTCCTTGCTGTTAATCCTGAGCTTAGCTTTGTGCTCTGCTAATCCTTTGATTATTCTTTGTATTACATGTTTACTTTCAAAACAAAGAATATATATAATCCTATAAACCTAAAGTATACAAGTAAGTTTTTAAGTAAAGCAAGCAGTAGTTAGTCACATCCAACAACTAGACTTCTCAAAGCCACTTCTTCAGTGCTAAAGAGTGTCTATGAAGCTACAAAACTAACTGAAGAAGTGGCTTTGGTACAGGGTCGTCCCGAGGCCAGGTGTCACCCGGAGCAGAAACCGGGTGACACCCCGCCGCGACGTCATCGCGCGTGCGCGTGGTGACATCATCGCGCATGCACGGTCATATTTGTGATACCTGCCAGCAGCCATCTAGATGATGGCCGTCGGCAGAGAAGAAGAGATGTTCACCCGGCGGTTCACCAGCTGTCAGCCTGCTGTCAATCCCGCAGCTGGGTGGATCCAGACAGTATTGTCAGGATCCGCCCCGGCTGCGGCCTCTCAGTATACTGCGAGCTGTAGCTCGCGGTATACTGAGATTTTGGTCATGGGAGGACGCTAGTTTGTGTTCTCCCGTGACCCTTAGGAGAACTATTGGGAAAAGCCCTGACCCCATAGTTCTCCTTTCAAGAACAACTTTATTAAAAAAGGTAGAAATTACAAATCAATCAGCAGCTGTTGAGACAGTAAAAAGACTGGTCAGGAGTATGTAATGTATATCACAGCTTTCAGAATACAGTGGTTAGCACTATGTAATGTACAATATCATCTATAGAGTACAGTGGACAGGACTATGTAACATCTATGTGCAAAAGTCAAATATACTGTATGTGTCAAAGTGCACCTTATATTGCTGGTCAGTGGGAGAAAAGAATGCTTAGAGACCATGGTAAGTGGGGGATAAAAATGACCAGGTGTTGTTGGTCAGGGAAAAAAAATGCATTTGTGTCAGTGGTCAGTGGAAGGAAAACAAATGACCAGATGTCAGTGGTCAGTGGGAGGAAAAAAAAACTGGTGCCAGAGGCCAGTGGAAGGAAAAAATGCCCCAGCAGAAATGGTAGGAAAAAGTGGACACCGGGAGGAAAAATGCCCCAATGGTCATCTGGAGGAAGAATGCCCCAGCAGTTAATAGGAGGAAGAATGCCCTGGAGGTTAGAGGGAGGAACAATGCCCAGGTGGACATTGTCAGAGGGAGAAAGAATGTCTTGGTGGACATTAGAAGAAATTTCCCAGCATTGGTGTCAGTGGGATAATAAGGGGTGAAGACATTGCATAGCTTAAATAGAGAGGAGGCTGACTGCGCACCCGGTAATCTTATTTGGGCGCACACATAGAGGAGGAATCAGGGCATCTATGCAGGGAGAGGAGAAGCCTGCCGGCAATTACTATCCTCACCCCACCCATTTTGCCCTTAACTTGCCAATGGACATCTGCAGTCAGGTGCTTGTCCAAGTGTTCCAGCATAACATGTCCCACAGGGTCCTGGATGGTTGGAAGGTATGGTCCATCAAGTCTGTGTAATATGTGTTGAAATGTTTTTATTGGATGTCCATCCATGTGACAGGGTGATAGTGCAGAAGCGTTGTCACCCTATAGCAGAACGTACCTGAGCAAGTACCCTTATGACAGCCCTGGCTTCTCTACTTATCTCCCCTGACACTTATGAAATAAAGTTATATCTGGACTATTTTAATGGGTGTGGTGCTTTAAATCCTAAATTGACTGTGCCCAAGACAGTTCTCCTGCCATAATGTACGTTACGGCCGATGTTGGTGATGCACAAATCCAGCTATGTTAATGTTTATAGCACCCTTCTACACATAATTCTTACAGTTTCTGAAATATGTCAATCATCTATTGTTACACTATAAGACCAAAAGTGTGTGGACACCTGACCATCACACCTACCCATATGGCTAAAAGTATGAGGATATCTCTCCAGCCCAGTGAAGGGTACTGTTAATGCTTCAGCATGCAAATACATTTTAGACAATTGTGCTCTTCCAACGTTTGGCAACACTTTGGAGAAGACTCTTTTTCTGTTCCAGCATGACTGTGCCCCTATGCACAAAGCCAGTTCCCTAAAGACATGGTTTTTGGAAATTGGAAATGACATGGCCGACACAGAGCCCTGACCTCAACTCTACTGAACATCTTTGGGATTTATTTAACTGCAGATTGTGAGCCAGGAATTTTCATCTAATATCATCTGTCCTCACAAATGGTCTCTTGGCTGATTGGGCACAAATTCTCGCAGACACTCCCCAAATCTCAAGGAAAGTCTTCCCAGAAGAGTGAAGGCTGTTATAGTCACAAAAGGGAGCTAACCCCATATTATTGGTCATGGTTTTGGAACGAGATGTCCAACAATCTCATACAGTTGTAATGGTCAGGTGTCCACATCTTTTGGTCATATAGTGTACCTAATAGATCCTGTTGAGCAGGACACTGGCAAACTTGCACCTACCCTAACGTCACAATGTACTCTGGTACACTATTTTCTCAGAAATGTATCTTGGCATAAGTCATTTTGAGAATTATTTGCACAGGTACACAGCGATCTGCCAGGTTTCACCATCTGTTCAGTCAATTTTAAGGATGCAGGAAGCATGGCAATGTTTCTGAAAACACTTTGTTGGCTTTGAAACCATTTGGTAGGCACCTCATCCTGGTGTATACAGTTTTATCAAATATTGGTTCTTACAGGTTCTTAATTTGAGAACTTGTTCTGTAGGTCAGCTCCTGCAGAACATCTCTACGCTGGCTTGTCACAAGAATTCTTACAGCACTCCATTGCATTGGGCTTGTTGCTTTCTGGCTAGAACCGAAATCACTAAGATTCAAATCACTTTTCTTAAAGGGATGTTTATTCCATATATGTGGATGTTTCAGGGCCATGTTAGAATTAAAGGGTACCTGTAGTTTTGAGGTGAACAATATCTTGCAAAGATGTGGGGTGGGGATAGGCAAGATCAGCACTGTTCTTGATTAGCAGCCCATCTCCTGTGTTAAACTTTTCACCTTGTTGAGGAAAGCTTAGTGCCTCTGTCAGATTTTTATTGTTCATTATCATTCTAACACCCAACTACAGTATATGCCCTTATCTGCTAAATGCATTATATCCATGTACAGAGAACAATGTAACTTATATCCATGTACAGATAACTATGTAACTTATATCCATGCACAGAGAATCATGTAACTTATATCCATGCACAGAGAATCATGTAACTTATATCCATGCACAGAGAACAATGTAACTTATATCCATGCACAGAGAACTATAACTTATATCCATGCACAGAGAACAATTATATCCATGCACAGAGAACAATGTGACTTATATCCATGCACAGAGAACCATGTAACTTATATCCATGCACAGAGAACAATGTAACTTATATCCATGCACAGAGAACTATAACTTATATCCATGCACAGAGAACAATTATATCCATGCACAGAGAACAATGTGACTTATATCCATGCACAGAGAACTATAACTTATATCCATGCACAGAGAACTATAACTTATATCCATGCACAGAGAACAATTATATCCATGCACAGAGAACAATGTGACTTATATCCATGCACAGAGAACAATGTAACTTATATCCATGCACAGAGAACAATGTAACTTATATCCATGCACAGAGAACAATGTAACTTATATCCATGCACAGAGAACAATGTAACTTATATCCATGCACAGAGAACAAGTTATAGTTCTCTGTGCATGGATATAAGTTACATGGTTCTCTGTGCATGGATATAAGTTACATTGTTCTCTGTGCATGGATATAAGTTACATGGTTCTCTGTGCATGGATATAAGTTACATTGTTCTCTGTGCATGGATATAAGTTACATTGTTTTCTGTGCATGGATATAAGTTACATGGTTCTCTGTGCATGGATATAAGTTACATGGTTCTCTGTGCATGTCCGTAATTAGCGGACTGGGAAAACTAAAAGGCCCAATTTGGTCTTCTCATCTGCATGAACCTCTGACTGCTGTGAATGGGAACTATTACCACCACCAATTAACGATGTTTCCTGATGTACGGGCCTCAAGTGTCATTGGTTGCAAGAATCAAGGTGACTGTCATCAACCTAGTACTATTCTGCTGCCCCCACACTATTCCAGTAGACCTCCCACATCTTCTTGGGGCCGGATGTGGTGATGAAGCTCTTGTCCTCATCAACATGGGGAAAGGGTGGTTTACCCTCCCAATCTGAAGGGTAAATGGAGGGTCAATGTGTCCAATGTGGAGGGCATGTGGTGCATGCTCACTGCCCACTCTCCTATCCTGGCCAACCAGGCTGCATACATGTTCGGAAAAGGGTCTGATTTGCTGGTATGGATTTTTAAGGACAATGCAATTTTTTTCCATGAGATTCCTCCCTACAGTCCATACCAGACCCTCATCAGGGAAAGAGCTCTAGGGAACATATCGTTTTTGTTTGTTTGTTTTCTTGTCTATTAAGGATACAAAGAAAACTAAGCTTTTTGTGTTGCTCTTTTTTGCATGGGGATGCCCCTTGAAGTCCATAACAGACCCTCATCAAGGATTAGATTCTGGAATACATTTTTAGGGGGACCCCACACTGGGTTTTTTTTTTTTTACAAACAGCAGAAGTCAGGGATCAGAAATTTCATATAGCGGAAAATATTTTTCTAAATGTCAGTTTAGCTGTAGTACGTCCTAAAGTAGAGGATCAACTCATATGTGATTTTGCCTGTGTCAAGGGCTGAGGGCTGAGTGAGAATTATTCCTCCTGAGATTTTTTATCCAGGAGCTTCACTTTAAATCCAAAAAATACTCTTGCCACATTATATACAGGTGAAACTCGAATAATTAGAATATCGTGCAAAAGTTCATTTATTTCACTAATGCAACTTAAAGGGTGAAACTAATATATGAGATAGACTCATTACATGCAAAGCAAGATAGTTCAAGCCGTGATTTGTCATAATTGTGATGATTATGGCTTACAGCTCATGAAAACACCAAATCCACAATCTCAGAAAATTAGAATATTGTGAAAAGGTGCAATATTCTCGGCTCAAAGTGTCCCACTCTAATCAGCTAATTAAGCCATAACACCTTCAAAGGGTTCCTGAGCCTTTAAATTGTCTCTCAGTCTGGTTCAGTAGGAATCACAATCATGGGAAAGACTGCTGACCTGACAGTTGTGCAGAAAACCACCATTGACACCCTTCATAAGGAGGGAAAGCCTTACTAGGTAATTGCAAAAGAAGTTAGATGTTCCCAAAGTGTTGTATCAAAGCACATTAATAGAAAGTTATGTGGAAGGGAAAAGTGTGGAAGAAAAAGGTGCACAAGCAGCAGGGATGACCGCAGCCTGGAGAGGATTGTCAGGAAAAGGCCATTCAAAAGTGTTGGGGACTTTCACAAGGAGTGGACTGAATTTCCCTCTATAACATGGCACCCAATTTAAGAGTAAAGGTTGTTTTGCATACCGCAGCATCATCAAAGAGGTTGAGCAATGAGATCAGGAAAGCCCGTCTGTGCTGTCGGTTCCCCCGAATCATTGAATAGAGATGGGAGCACAGGGCACTGTTGGACTCATCCTGCCGGAACCCACGCACTATGCGCTTTGCATCAGAAATGATTGCTTGCTGGACCTGGTATGACATCTTTATGCCAGCCACCGCTTTCATCTGTAACAGGGAAGGAAGAGTATTATGGAGCAGCCAATTACACAGCTAAATTACATCACATGGCAGTTACATGTTCTGCACTCACGTGAATGAATCCAGTGTATTTCTTGTCAATCTCTATCAGCTGCTGATCCGATTTGTTCCGCATGGACGGCTCCGGGTCTGTGCCCATTGCAATTAGGTATGGCACACACTAAGAATGGAACAAAAATGAAAGGTCAAGAGAAAACAAAAACAATTTGGAAATGTGGGACCTCATGCTTTAATGTCAATGGACCATACTGACGTTAATTTCACTGTCTATGAAGAAAATGTAACTAGGTTTGAGAATTGCAATCTGGGAAAATTATGTCGTCACAGGCAGGAAAAAAAGCAACCAAATCTCCCCTCTGTCAGTCCTCACTGCACACTAAGTGAGAGGCAGCACCAGGGGCCTGAACCTATACAAGATATTTCTACACAAATATTATAACTACTGTGCATGTGTACGACCCATCTCCAGAACAACATCTTAGTCCAGAAGTACAGGTGAAACTCGAATAATTAGAATATCGTGCAAAAGTTTAATTATTTCACTAATACCCTAATGCAACTTAAAGGTGAAACTAATATATGAGATAGACTCATTACATGCAAAGCAAGATAGTTCAAGCCGTGATTTGTCATAATTGTGATGATTATGGCTTACAGCTCATGAAAACCCCAAATCCACAATCTCAGAAAATTAGAATATTGTGAAAAGGTGCAATATTCTAGGCTCAAAGTGTCCCACTCTAATCAGCTAATTAAGCCATAACACCTGCAAAGGGTTCCTGAGCCTTTAAATGGTCTCTCAGTCTGGTTCAGTAGGAATCACAATCATGGGAAAGACTGCTGACCTGACAGTTGTGCAGAAAACCACCATTGACACCCTTCATAAGGAGGGAAAGCCTTACTAGGTAATTGCAAAAGAAGTTAGATGTTCCCAAAGTGTTGTATCAAAGCACATTAATAGAAAGTTATGTGGAAGGGAAAAGTGTGGAAGAAAAAGGTGCAATGTCTCTCAGTCTGGTTCAGTAGGAATCACAATCATGGGAAAGACTGCTGACCTGACAGTTGTGCAGAAAACCACCATTGACACCCTTCATAAGGAGGGAAAGCCTTACTAGGTAATTGCAAAAGAAGTTAGATGTTCCCAAAGTGTTGTATCAAAGCACATTAATAGAAAGTTATGTGGAAGGGAAAAGTGTGGAAGAAAAAGGTGCACAAGCAGCAGGGATGACCGCAGCCTGGAGAGGATTGTCAGGAAAAGGCCATTCAAAAGTGTTGGGGACTTTCACAAGGAGTGGACTGAGGCTGGAGTCAGTGCATCAAGAGCCACCACACACAGACGGATCCTGGACATGGGCTTCAAATGTCGTATTCCTCTTGTCAAGCCACTCCTGAACAACAAACAACGTCAGAAGCGTCTTACCTGGGCTAAAGAAAAACAGACCTGGTCTGTTGCTCAGTGGTCCAAAGTCCTCTTTTCTGATGAGAGCAAATTTTGCATCTCATTTGGAAACCAAGGACCCAGAGTATGGAGGAAGAATGGAGAGGCACACACTGCAAGATGCTTGAAGTCCAGTGTGAAGTTTCCACAGTCTGTGTTGATTTGGGGAGCCATGTCATCTGCTGGTGTTGGTCCACTGTGCTTCATTAAGTCCAGGGTCAACGCAGCCGTCTACCAGGAGATTTTGGAGCACTTCATGCTTCCTTCCACAGACGAGCTCTATGGGGATGCTGACTTCATTTTCAAGCAGGACTTGGCACCTGCCCACACTGCCAAAAGCACCAAAACCTGGTTCAATGACCGTGGGATTACCGTGCTTGATTGGCCAGCAAACTCGCCTGACCTGAACCCCATAGAGAATCTATGGGGCATTGCCAAGAGAAAGATGAGAGACTGTCACAGTCGCACCCGGCGCCTCCGGCCTCTCCAGCGCCGCGTCTGCCGTGACGTCATGCGGGCTCCGCCCCCTGACTGCAGCTCCTCTCATAACCGCAGCGGAGGCAATCACTCGGCGTTCAGTCAATGTGGAACGTCGAGCTTTGATTTCCGCTGCACTCCACTGAACCTGACCGGCTCCCTACGCTTCACAGCTTGAAAGTCCTGTGGGACACGTCACCACCAAACAGCCACTCAGCCCTTGCAGGAAGGAGCGATTGCTCACCATAGAAACCCACAACCGCAAGTATTAGGGCATGTCCCTACATTTGAATGCCAGTGCAATGTGCATAGTGTACCTAGTTGGATGAACCTTACTGTCGGTCCTACATGCATACCTATAGTTATTAGTGGAGAGATATATACTGCTGGAATATTGACTCCCTGTGCTATTGCCTAAATTGATCCATACTGCTGGAGTATTGCCTGCCTGTGTTACTGCCTAAACTTTATCCAGAAATAACATTAGTAGACATGTGTTGCGGAAGAAATATATACAGAGGTACTGGAAGTTTCACACCCCAGGTTGTAGTGTAAAAAAGAAGATATTTCCCCAGTGGGGTGTGCAAATGCCCAAAGGGAGAAAAAGGAAGAGGGGCTTTTTAGAAAACAATCCCAAACCTCAAAGATAAAATCTTAGAAAATATTTTATTGAAATATCGTTTAGAACATTATTAAAAAACAAAAAGGTCAGAGGAGATCACACACGAAGCAGGTGGAGGGGTGGCGTCGGAGACAGCACGCTGTAGTCGTCAGGCGAGCGGCAGCAACGGCCGACGTTGTTGGATTCGAGGCTATAATGTGCTGCTCTTGCACTGTAATATGTTGCTGTTTGTTCTCCCAGACGTCATCCCTGACGACTACAGCGTGCTGTCTCCGACGCGACCCCTCCACCTGCTTCGTGTGTGGCAATCCCTGCTCGACAGAACCAACCCCTGCCTGAGCACAAAAGAGTTGTTCCTATCACATTCGTGTGCTTGTGTCTTTCGATGAACTGATCGTGAAGATATATATACGACACATATATATTTTTCCCCTCCTCTCTTCCCCTGAAGAAGCACCCCGTTTGGGCGAAACATGTTGGGACATACAGGAGCACTCATATAATTTTCGAAAACAAGCAACTGTAGATCTTATAACTGTACGGTATTGTCACCGGATGGTGTATGCATCCGCATATGTTTTATCTGTGATCTCCTCCGACCTTTTTGTTTTTTAATAATGTTCTAAACGATATTTCAAATAAATGTTTTTCTAAGATTTTATCTTTGAGGTCTGGGATTGTTTTCTAAAAAGCCCCTCTTCCTTTTTCTCCCTTTGGGCATTTGCACACCCCACTGGGGAAATATCTTCTTTTTTACACTAAACTTTATCCATACTGCTGTGGAGTATTGTTTCCAGTTATTACTTGCTCTATACTGCTGGAGCATTAGAGCTGTTACATTGCTACCCCTATAAATAGCTTCATAGGACCGTATATCCTAGGAGTACGTACTTGGCTTGCCCTGAGGACTACAGTCCCATCAGGCCCCTCAGTTAATTAATCTGATACCTGACAGGAAGAACTGGGTAGTGGTACACCTGTTCTTACCTTTCCATAGTATAGGCTGGGATACATGATGTGGAACGGCTCCCTCTCGCACTTGTTGTATTAGGGAGCCGCCTGACTGACCCAATCCCATAAGCCTACTCACAACAGATCCGCAGCTGTGATCCAATCCTCCGCTACCTGCTTGATTGTGACAGAGACATGAGACCGAACAATGCAGAAGAGCTGAAGGGCGCTATTGAAGCATCCTGGTCTTCCATAACACCTCAGCAGTGCCACAGGCTGATAGCTAATGTATACTGCATACATTTTTTTTGTCCCTGACATATGATTAAAACCTGAAGGTCCATTCCCAGAAAACATGACAACAGCTTCAACCTTTCATTAACACAGAGGGCATCAGATCACAACAGAGAGCCAGTGGGAATCTTTACTCAAGTTACTGGCCCAGTGAACTGAGCAGAATTTGTATTTGCAAAAGCAGAACCAGGCTTGCTACGGTGTTGCTGCATTCTTCTAAATGACCACCAGATGGCGGAGGAGTACACATAGAGAGAAACAGCCCAGCAATGCAGCAAAGGTTGGTAAGAGAATCCATGTCTTACAGAACAGGAGAGTCCAGCTGTCTGCAGGAGGTACCGTAAATGGCACCAAATACATTCTACTATATTGATAATCTGTTCTTTTTAGAAATATATTATTAATAATACTTAAATGAATGACATTATGTTTGCTAAAGCAGTTTGTATCATAAATGATTGTCTATTTTTAATACTTGTTTTCATATTTTTTTTTTTTTTAAATCCTTTGCTTCTAGGATTGCGACCTGTCCAGGACAGTCCGGATTTTGAATGCTGTGTCTGGGTTTCATGGCAGCAGAAACCCGGACAAAAGATGTCAGGCAGACAGGGGCATGAAAATTAAGATAGGGGCTACTGCTCCCCCCACTAAAAATAGTCTCAACTGTGCTATTTATATGTATAAAAAATGTCCACGCATCGCTAGAGTGTTCGGGTTTCGCTTGACGAAAAGGTGGCAACCCTATTTGCTTCACCTCTGTGCTATTGATATTCAGTAGCCTCTTTGCAGCCACTTTTACTTCACTGATGTCTGCATATCATTTCTCAAGGCGGAATTCATGATGGTGACAAAATTGGACCATTCCTGTATAATGTGCATTGAAACGGCCACTTGTAGTCTTTGTCAATAGCCCATGTGAGAGGGCGACAATGCAGGAGCACAGTTGGGAGACAGGCACAGGGTGTTGTCACTCTATAACAGGAAGTACCTGAATAAGGACCCTTATGGCGGAATCATCCGAGATTATTTTAATGAGAGCTGCATATTTACCAATATTGAAAATTACTTTTCAATTTATATTAACATGTTAAAGTTTATGTGAGATTTTGGTGATCGGGTTTACATACTTTAAGAAGCTGTATCCATCGTCTTTTAAACAACTTACATGCAAACATGCCTGTATTTTACACTGCTGAGATAACAGTAAACGTGGCAACTCAGGGCTGTAAAATATTAGAATATTTTGTATTATTCTGATATAAAAGTGAAGCATATTCTGTCATTTGATTATTCTGATGTTCAATGTTCAAAGTTCAGTGTTGGGCACTTTACTGTTTAATCTATTTATAAATGACATAGAATTGGGGATTAAAAGTACTATTTCTGTGTTTGCAGATGACACCAAGT